TCCTCCACAACTAGACTGAAGAACAAAACGACAGCAACTTGTCTGTTCCCCTTCCCCCAATTCCCCAGCACTGTTCCCATCCCCCCAATTCCCCAATAATAAATAAATAAATAAATAAATAAATAAATAAAAGATCAATGAGATACCAAAATGCAGAACACTGACGACAGCAACTGCTGACAAAGATGTGGAGCAACGGGAACTCTCATACATTCCTGGTGGGAATGCAAACTGGTACAGCCATTTGGGAGGACAATATGGCGGTTTCTTACAAAGCTAAACATAGTCTTACTATACAATTCAGCAGTCATGCTCCTTGGTATTTACCCAAAGGAGTTGAAAACGTATACCCCCACACACATACACAGAAACCTGCACACAGCTGTGTATAGCAGCTTTATTCATAATTGCCCAAACGTGGAAGCAACCAAGATGTCCTGTAGTAGGTGAACGAATAAATAAATGGTGGTACTTCCAGACAATGGAATCTTCGCCACTCTGGTGGGGGACGTTGATAGTGGGGGAGACAATTTATGTGTGGGGGCAGGGGGTATCTGGGAAACCTCTGTATTTTCCTCTTCATTTTGCTGTGAACCTAAAGCTGCTCTTAAAAAAAAATAGTCTTAAGAAAAGAATTGGGGAATCCAGTGTCATTTCTGGACTCTAAATATTTTTTAATCCATTGGTAAGAGCTTAATGTTTTCTTTTTGAGTGATCATTGTCAAAAATTAGATAAGTAGAAATCAACAGAAAAAAAAACCTACCATTGGTTTTTCAGCGTGTGTTCTATGGATAACCCAGGAGTTTATCTCCTTCCAGGGCTCAGGCTGCTTCCCCTACAGGGTGACAGGTGGGCACACCCCTGGCAGTACATTTCCCTGAGCCTGGGGTCCTCAGTCTGGAATAACCCTTATTGGAGGTGAGAGAAGGGTGCAGCAGGGTGGCCCAGTGAGGTGTTGGGCCTCCAGGTTTCCCAGAATAGCCCAGGGTGGGCATTGACATAACAGGGTTCATTCTTTTGAACCCCCGCATCTGCTGTGACTTGCAGATAATCATCTTTATTTTTCCGAATGTCCAGTGAGTATTGGTTGGATCAGATGACAGACAGGCAGACTTATTCATACGACACACAGGCCCTGAAGGATAAACAATTCTCAGATAATGGGTAGTCTAAATCTACTCAGAGAAAGAGAAACATTTTCCTAAACTGCCCATGATTTGCAAAGCCATCCTCCCCACAAAGGAGCTAGTGTTGATGCTATTTCACAAAGCATCCCTTTTGTTCCTTGCAAATTGCGACTTTTGCAATCTGTGGGGAATAAGAAACAGTTTATACAGAAAACAAGGCAAGGCTTTAATCGGACTAGAGTATGAGAAGGTCACTTGCCTCCTCCTCTCTCCCTGTCTGGTGAGAAGGTGTGGCTTGTTCTTTCTCATTCAAGTGCAGTTTCCCCTTGATTGTGATTATGCTGTATACATAATTTCATATCCCCTTTTCTTGTTCAAGTGATAACACAATCCCCCAATGTTATACAAACTTCATAACTATCTAGATCTTTATGAGAGCAGGGGCCGTGTTCGTCGGCTCTGTCAATCTTCTACATGGTGTGCACTTGGCTTGGAGAGGGTGTCCAGGAAACGCTGTTGAGCTGAACTCAGCTATTGGCCATAGGTTGCTCACCTCAGGGTTATGTCATCATTTCTATAACTCTACTGGACAAACCAGTTGCTCCCAGCTCTTGGTTTCTATTGTAAATTCTGTGTAGATGTAAATCCTTACACGTGAATCATTTTCTCTTTATTTCAGGTTTTCCTGCTCAGATAGATGCCATGAAGTGAAATGTACTGGGTCAAAGGGTTTGCATATTTTTAAGGCTTTCAACACAAATCAACCCCACCCTCTGCTTCACCCAAGGCCTTTATTCAAATCAAATGAAGCAGAGGACATAAACAATCGTGTTAAGAACTTATGGGGTGCCTGGCTATGTAGTCAGCCCTCAGGAAATCCTCCCCGCTTTGAACAAGAGACACGCTCATTCACATACAGACACACACACAAATGTGCCTATAATTTGGGACGCAGACGTGCCCATTTCCTCCGTCCTGACCCTTTCACCTACATAGACTGTACGCTGTCCTGGGCTCCTCAAACACCAATGCCAGGCTTGTTAAACTTTGATGTGCACGAGAACCATAAAATGCAGGTTCTGACTCAGGAGGTCTTGGATGGGGCCAGAGATGCCAGATTTCTCAAGCTCTCATTCTGCCAATGCTGCTGGTCTGTGGACCCCGCCCTGGGTAACAGGCAGGTGTGCCACAAAGACACAACAGGCACATAGAAACACATGCAGGCACCAGTACAAACCCACACATGCGTTTACAGTTTCTCAGAAATGTCCTAGGAAATGGCACTCAGCCCTCCAACGGCATGGATCCTCGCTCCATGGGAAACCCGTAAGCACCTGCCCCAAACCGCAGAAAGGCCATGCTCTGTGGGTTTTATTGAAACACCCCCTGGTTCTTGCCAGGAGAGGAGGAGAAAGACAAAACAATGGCCAGTGTTTGGGCCATGCAAGGGTGGGGTGGGACAGAGAAGGACAGGATAATCTGGACACTCTCTCCTCGAAATAAGTGCTGCTCCCGTGACACGGGGCTTGGATTCCTCCTAAACGATCGGATCCAGACCTCTTTGGAACCTGGCAGCTGTTGCATTCCCAGTACCAAGCCTGGAATAGCAGCAACCTTCCCTCTCCGCCCAGCTTCTCAGCTGCCCGAGGGTCAGAAAAGCAGGGCGCCTCGGGGAGAAGAGCACTTTGGAGGGGCGGCTGTGGTTCTACTCCCACTGTTGATGTCCTGTGAAAATGTGGGCAAGACCCTTCCCTTTTCCGAGCCTCGGTCTCTCCATCTTTGCACTCGGGGCGGGACACATCATCAACTCTAATTTATTCTTACCCTCCTCTCCGCCACCTGCGACTCAGACATCTTGCTGACATTTTTGCATTTTGCTCAATTTATATTCCAGGGATCGTGTAATCCAGTCAGTATGATGTACAGATAGGGACACTGGGCCCCTTCAAAGAGAAAGCGCTGGTCCACATGTTTTAGGACTTCTGCCTCTCCCATCAGTAAACCTTGCAGCCCCCAGCCAGGAATTCCCCCAACGTGAGTCTGTCTCATGAAGAAGCCATCTACAACCTGTGCTTAAGACACTTAGGCCATTCCCCAATGAGAGAGTGTTTCAGCCACTTGAGAGAATGTTTGCATTTTCTTTGGGTGTGCATGTGTGCCCAGCTTTGAGATTTTTTTTTCAAGATTTTTTTTGGTCAGCTTTTTCATTGTCAGATGTAACTTCATATTTCAAATATAAATATTTTTATTTCCAACATACAGACATTGATATGTAATTTGTCGATATGTACATTTACATATATTTGAATCTATTGTCAAACTAACACAGGGAGAAAGCATCTAAAACATAAATATGCAACTGAATAAATTATCATAAAGCAAATCCCATGTCAGATCGAGATTTTTAAGATGTTTTTATTGACTTAGAAGCCCCAGAATGCCTTTTGCCAGACATAACCCCCTTCCTCAACCAAAGGGAACTAGTAAGCTGATTTTTGTGGTAAGCACTTCTTTGCTTTTAGTTATAGTTTGATTACATAATCATCATCCCCACAAACTATACTTTCGTTCGGCTGCTTTTGCACTTGATATAAATGTTATTAAACAGCCTGTATGCTTTCACTCACCGTTATAGTTTGACGTTCATCCACCCCATTGCGTGTAGCCGTGTATCACTCATTTACTTTTACATTCAGTCTGTGAATAGGCCAGACTTTTTCTTTCATTCTAGTACTGAGGGACAACAGGGCTGTTTCCAGACTTTGGCTATTTTGAAGGATGCTGCTATGATCATTTCTGCCCATTCTCTTGTACACACATGAATGCATTTACACTTGGTGTTTGCTGTATCATAGACTATGTGTTTTCTCAACTTTATTACCTCAGGAATTGTCCCAGCTTTCTCCCCCACCAGCAGTGAATGACAGCTCCAATTGCTCCTCAGCCTTGTGAAAAACAACGCAGTGTTGTCAAACGTTTCCGTGTTTGTCAATTTGGTGGATATGTAGTAGGGTCTCATTTGGGGTTCTCATTTGCATTTTTCTGATTAGTAATGATACTTGGGCATTTGCAATTCTTTTTTTTTGTGTGAGGAGGCTGTATTTGGTACATTTTTCTACCAGGTTGACTATTCTTTACTTATTTATTCATAGTTCTTTATATATATATATATATTCTGGATGTGAGCCCTGAGGTGGTGACATGCATTGCAAACAGCTCCTCCCACCTATGGCTGGCCTTTTCATTTTCTTAACAGTACCTTCTGTTAAACAGAAATTTTAAATGTATTGTAGTCAAATTTATCACTCCTTTTCTTTATTGCTATTATTTTTGTGTTCTCTCTAAATAATGTCTCTCTGCACTGAGGTCATGAAAACATTGTCCTACACTATATTCTAAAATCTTTATGGTTTTGCCTTTTATATTAAGTCTACAACCCAGTTGGAATTGGTTTCGCATGTAATGAGAGATAGTGATCAAATTTCTTGTATTTTTAAACTATGGAATTTGTCCCGGTGCCATTTATTGAAAAGACTCCCTTTTCCCTGCTGGTTTGCAAAACAACCTGTGACATACATCAAATTCCTGTATATGTAGGGGACTGTTTGAGGGTTCTTTATTCTATTCTATTTGTGCTAGATTTCAGTTTCTTACCTCTCAGCTCCAAATCCATCCTTCGTTGCTGGCCTGTAATATGGGAACATTCTCCCTTGCCAGCCAGCACAACGTCAATGTTTTGTCAGCCGTGAAAGAGGAAGGGTCTTCTCATCCTGGTTTTGGTGCGCTTTCTTTTTTCTTGCTGCTGTGCTGGTGGAGCTCACCCAGCAGGCGCGTTCACTGGAACCCCCACAGACAGCTCCCAGAAGAGTCCCAAGGACAACCAGCACGCTTCCTAAGTGTAAGTCCTGCAGGCTCCCCAGCTGCGGCCTGGTGACTTTCTGGAAACGGCTTCCCAGTTAGTTCAACAGCACCCCCAGCAGGCAGCTTCCCAGAGCATTTCTCCAGCACCCAAACGAGCCTCTGACCTTGGACTGTGGATCGTCAGCTCAGGTTTGGGACAACTCAGCCGGCTTCTCTGCCAAAAATGGGCTGCCACCACACCCTCTCCAATGAGCCTGAATCCTAACCTTTCACAGGGAATACACGCTCTTTTCCACACGTGTTCCTGGAGCACTTTAAGTCACACAAGCACTGGCTATTTGTCTCACAGTAATTGGCTGGGAGTTGGTGGGGTGGGGGGTGGTATTAAGCATCAGACATTGCTCATGGACCACTGGACACTTCCCAGGATTCTGATCTGGTGAGAGTAGAGCCACAGGTCTGAGATCTTGTACCTTTCACACTACACCCCCTGCTTCTTGGACCCAGCCCCTGCCCCAGCCTGAGCAGCAAGAATTATCTCCTCCCCATCCCCATGACCACCACCTCCTTCCTGAGACCTGTGCATCCCTTGTAGGTAAGATCTGGCTTTCCTCTAACATCAGGGTCTCAGTCAATGCAGGTGACCAGTTGTCCAGTGCTGACTGGCTGGGTGGCTGCCAACTGTCTGGTTATCTGAATGACTATTACCTGAAAAACTGACCACCTGACAGCTGCTTCACCAGCCAGACAGTGGCTCTTTCCTGCCCCAGGCAAGACTGTGAGGTCAACTACCAGGGAAGAAATAGAAGAAGTTGTCCTGGAAGGTGTCATCAGTCTGATAAGAAGGCCGTCTCCGGTGTTGATCTGAACCCTGAGCATCATGTGTGTGTGTGTGCGGGGGGGGGGGGGGGGGGGGGGGGGGTCCCATTAGCCTTGTAGGTGGAAAAGGGGAGGAGAGGTCAAGTGCAAAGATGCTGTTTAAATCTGGAACTGAAACTAGAGATGTGGACTCTCAGCTGAGACCTCGGGCAATGCACCCCTAATTCTCATATTCCTAGATTCTCTACTGATGGCATAATGCAGTTTCCTTCTCAAAAGTTCAGGTGACGTATCACTCGACCAACAGCATTTATTTCTTCCAAATATTTGCACCATTATATCCCCAGTGCCTATTCCGTGCCTGGAACATGAAAAGTGCTCACCAAAGGGGGAAAGCAGCTCGCCAGTCACTGTAATCAATATTTAGTGATAGAGTGTCATTTGTGATGTTAGAGGAATGCTTCCTACTGCAACATCCCCTACAGATCTCATGTGATAACAAAATATGGCTGCCGTATATTAAACCTATTCTATGTGCTAAGCAATCCACATAGATTGCCTCTAACTAACAAGAGAATGATCATTATCTCTAACTGCAAAGCCCAAGCTCTTGCCTCAAGACCATGTGTCTTCTTTTTTTTTTTTTAAGATTTTTATTGGGGAATTGGGGGGATGGGAACAGTGCTGGGGAATTGGGAACAGACAAGTTGCTGTCGCTTTGTTCTTCAGTCTAGTTGTGGAGGACGTTGCTTCACTGGCCCAAGTTGGCACCATCATTGCGAGGCAGATCAGTCGCCAGCTTCTGGACGGCCGCTCACTGCGGCTGCTGGCCACTCACGCTGGCTGCTGGCTACACACGGTAGCCCATGGCAACCCACTGCCACAGGGGCTGCAGCCTACGCCATCTCCAGAGATTCACGGCAGCCCAACTCCAGGTTGAGCTGTTGTTCAGCATCTTAGCTGTGGAGGGCAGTGTCACTGGCCCTCATATGTGGGATCCGAACCGGGGCCCTCTGGCGTCCCAAGCCAGTTCTTAACCATTGCGCCACTCGGCCGGCCCAAGGTGATCTCTTATCCATGGCCCGGGGCGCCAACGGCTATGGTCATACATGGGTTGTGTGAGGTCAGCCACCTCCGGATCTTTCACAATAGAAATACGTGCTTTCCCATACACGCTCTTGCAGCACTATATGTCACCTTAGCACTGGCCTATCTTCTTAAAGTTGTTTAAGGGGATTTGAGCATCTGGATACTTCAGGCCTTAATCACAACAGGAAAGACCAAAGCCATGGGCCAAGCCCATCATTGTATTTCTCTCCCACCACACCTGTTGGTGCAGCGGGGTCTGAGGATTGCCTTCAGGAATAAGCCACCCTCCTGTTGTCCAATGTTGGACTTTCCCTGACTGTATAACCCATAACTTTAGTCAGCTTCCGGTCTATTGGCTTCTAGCCAGTGTCATGAACTTATAACTATTGCCAAGTATCTTATTGCATAGATGTTAGTTTATTCATTCTTTTCCACACCTGATGCATGCTTTCAATCTGAACACTCACATTGCTCGATTCTGGAAAATCCTCTCCCACTACTTCTTTGAATATCTGTTCTGACTCTCTTTTCTCTCGTTCTAGAACTTGAGCTGTATGTAGGTCACACCCTCTTATTTTTTCCATATCCATCTGTTCTTGATCCATAGCTACCTGTTTTTATTTCATAACCTCTTCTCTTATTTTTATGAATATTATTCCTTGTATCCTCTCAAGGGGATTAAAATTCTTATTTCAGAGTTATTTGGGGGATTAGGCTGTTCTTTGCATTTTGTCTTTCTTGAACTCATCTAATTATTAAGTTTGTTGGCTACTGTTTCAAGGGATCGTTAGTCAAGATACTTGTATACATCTGGAACCCTCTTCTACTCACAATAGAGTTATTTTTCTCTCTATTGGTTTAAAAATAAATGAATAAGGTATAACAATGAAGCAATTATTATACCATGATTCACAGGCATTGCTCAGAAATGTAAATTTTACATGTGGTAAGACATAGAACACGAAATGATTACAAGGTACGTATGGGAAGTTTCTCTCTGTGCAAACATAGTACCAGCCGGCTATTTTGTTTAATGTTGCAGAGCAGAGAGGGATGTGCCCATGTAGCTGCCTCAAGGGCATTAGTGGAATTCAAATAGGTCTCACCACAACCAGTCACTTGTGTGTCAAGAGAGGTTAGGAAAGGGAGCACCTCCCTTCTTAAAAATAAAGTTATAAGAAAAACCCTCTATGCACCCCCAATTACTACCCAGTCCTCTAAAAGTGGATATCTGTTTGGATTTTTATGATGTTTGGATTTTTAGAAAATAAAAAGAAATCTCTCAGATAGAGGGGATGGAATAAAAAAAAGAGAGGACTGACTACCGTTTGAGGAGCAGACTCAAGGCAGAGCAAAAAACCCATTTTATTGGTCTCCTAGGGAGCTTGATTTTCTAAAACTTCAACCTCGTGGCTTGTATTCAATTAACCAAAATGAGCCCGAGTTCAACAAGAGAGTCTCCCTTGATTTTGTCAACTGACCAAAACAATTTGCTTTCCTAGTGTTATTTTCATGCACATGGGTTCCCATTCCAGCGTGAGGAATTGCCTCGAAGGGAAAATTTCTGTGTCCCTTCTCTGTGCCCACCCTTCCTGGTTTTGCGGTGGCCTCCCTGGAGCCCCCAAGATCCCTTGAGGCCAGAACCAGGTTTTATATTGGCAGCTCAGAGCCATCCTGACTCAGTTATAATTCGCTCCAAATCCTAAAACCATAGTAAGTATGTTAACACTGGAAGGGGTCTTGAAGACCATCTAGGCCAAAGCAGCCATCTCTCAGAGAAAGAAAACCAAGGCTCTGAGAGGCAGGGCCTTGCCGAAGTCACTTGCCAGGTGGTTGTCCCCACCACGGGCGCTCCCTAGAGCCTGGTCTGTAGTATCTTGTCCCGACCTGGCTCCTGGAATGCAGCTGAGGCTTCTCCAACACTTCCTCTTAAGCCTTGTTTAGTTATTCCGTCCCTCAAAAATGCCTACTAAGTACCTGGCATTGTGGTGGACACTCAGGATGCAACTGTGAATAAGCATTCGGATGCAAGGCGGCTCAGAGGTGGACTGTGGAATCAGAATGGCCTGAATTCAAAGCCTGCCTCTGCAATTTGTTTCCTGTGTGATCTTCAACAAATCAGGAGGCATCTGTTATTTTCAGGACCCTATGTAAAATGACATAATCATTTCATCCCTTAGTTAGGGCTACTATGAGTAGCAAATGACAAGACAGTCATAAAGCACCCAGCTCAGTGTCTGGCATACAGAGAGTCAAAAATAGTTCTCATTATTATCACAGTTCGCTTCCTGCCCACTCTCGGGCTCAGAGGGGACTCCAGGCTCATCTGTCACCTCACATACTCATCTCTGGGGAGGTTTTGCTCAGGCCAGTTGACCATCAGCCCAGTCTGGTCCTGTTCACTCTATCTAAGTCTGCAGTTGTCTCTCTACTGGCCTAGCAGATGCCATCTTTAACCTTGACTGGAGTCCCTCTGCTCCCTGCCCCATCCTCTCTGAACTGGCAGCTTAAGACCTGAAGTCTTGCCGTGTCCCTGACTCACTATGTAGTCCCAACCAAGGCACTGCCCCTCTCTGAGCCTTACGTCCTCACCAGTACAAAGAGTGTGTTGGGTTAGGTAATGGTGAAGACCCCTCCTAGAACTCACACTCCTAGATCTCCAGGAAACACCACGCTCTCTGCGTCCTCCCAGGGCCCAGATTCAGGATGGCGGACTCTCAGTGGAGGTCATGCTCATGGGCCTACATTAGCCAGTTCTAAGGAGGTTTCTTCAAGGCAAGAGGGAAGGAGGGCCCCTTCTTAAATGAGGCTATTTTAGCTAACCTCTGACTCTACTTGGCCCCGAGGCTCTATGCCTCTCCTAGGGTTTCTTTATCTGAGGTCCAAGGATTCCTAATGGGAGCTATAACCCTCAGGAAATTATATGCAAATATCATGTGCACTTTTCAGAGGAGTTCCTACTTCGATATCTTTCATCAGAATCTCCAAATGGTTTGGATTCCAGAAAGGTTCAGACCCATTTCTGGAAGTCTAGCTTGTGCCACTTATCTCTTAACCTCTGATCTCCTTGTCTGTGTCAGATGTTCATCTGCTGTTGCCCAACCTTCCCTTTCTTCTTTGCT